TCTTGTTGATCAAGATCTGAGTCTTAGTCTTCTTGATATGAAATAGTTAATGAAGGGATGAGCTACATTAACCTATTAAGAATATCACACTACTCACTGATACAAAAATGAAAGTTGGTAAAAATCATAAAAACAACTAATGGAGTTCTTAATTTAAGTAAATTCATTTATCATAAGTAAAACTATTTATTGCATACTTACCGTTACGAGATTTTTAAAATCGACCTATAAAGACAATAGCTCAACAACATCATAATCTCATATTCAAGTAAGTAAGAATAACAACTTTTCCTTTTTATTTGTCTACTGGTATCCATGGGGGTATATAGGGATATCCCACTACGCGTGAAGCAACATCCAACCTTATCAACTAACCGGCGGTCCTCATACCCCGTCCGATATGAGCGTCAAAAATACTATCCCTCAATACCCCGTCCTGTATAAGGGTAAAACAGACCGTCCTTATACCTCGTCTAGTATGAGTGCCAAAAATACCAATCCTCGATACCGCTTCCAGTATGAGGTGACGTTCACGGTAGGCTTCTCTATGTACCCAGTCCGTATACCATCTTCCAGAATATCCAATAAGGCTACCATTCATTCATTCACTTAACCAATCAAATTTTCTATTTACATTTAATTTTTATTTTCACAATTTAACCGTGAATCAATGCAAGACAAACAATACATGTATCAAGGAAACCCAACTGAATTATTTTGCCACTTTCAGTATATTATTATATATTTAAAACTATAAAATCAGACAATCGGTTAAATAGGACAATAATAATAAATAACTAGTTCTACCTCCATTAATAACCTATAATTAATTCTCGAAGCTTTCTAAATTATGCAAAATACCGTATTATTGATAATTAGACTTCAATTTCATAACAGGGAATAATGTGAGGGATTCTTACTTGAATCGGTATCTGAAACACCGAGTTTTCAGCTGTGCTTACTGGCAGTCCCCAAGTTTCCTGAATTTTTCTACGGATGTTAAAACATGCTTCACGTACCTTAAAAAAATCTAAAAAATCCAAAATCGGTGTTAAAAATCTTTTTCGACCAATTTCGAAATTCTAGCACAGCAGCACCGCCGTGCTCCAGTAATGGAACTGTTGCCCCCAACGGCGGTTTGCCTCGGACTGGCCATTTTTGGTCAGTTTTGGCCGGTTTCGGTCGGTTTTATACTCATCTCTAAAAAAAAACACGTTAGGGGGCATCGGTTGACCAAAAAAGTCAAAAAATAAAAACTTACTGGTGGCTAAATTTTTTGGTGTGACGGCTCGCCGGTTCATATTCGTGGCTGGACGTTTTTCTTCGATCAACATGTAGAAAACAGAATAGTAGAAAAATTGCACGAAACGGGATATGTGAAAGAGCTCATCAAATGTAATTTTGGGTTTTGCCCGTGGCGGCAGTGTCGGGTTTTACCTGCAGTTTCTGACTCACCCATCATTCATTTTACTCTGATTTGGCCATAGGGGTGTACAAAATTAAATTTCGAGTGGATGGAAGAATTTTTACCTTTTTTGGCGGTCAGAGGTGGCTCCAGCGCGACGGCGGATGGCGGTCGGCTTCCTTTCTCTAGTGACTGGTTCTTCTTCTCCTGCTGAGGGCTGACGACTAGGGTTTGGGTTCAGTGTGATGTGAGATATTTATACCCGTCTCTCTTAAATCTGGACTGTTCATTGCGTTTAATCGTGATCGTCTGATCGTGCCTGAGGAGGGAATGGATCTAGACCGTACACGCATGCAGGAATCCATCTAAGCCGTCTGATCACGAGCACACAAATTGCCAGCGTGGCCTCTTGCGTGGCACCGAGTCAGCGTGCCTTACCACACGGCGCGCTCCAGTTTGTTAGGGATGCTGACTGGGCAGTCCTACATAGTAATTTTTTTTAATTACATTTTGACCCCCAATTTCTTATTTTTTTTTCAAAAATACCTTCCCGAACCCAAATTTTCATTCATTTTTTCCAAAATGATTTTCAATTTCATCATCCACCTATTTTTTTTCTAATTTTACATTAACTAAAAATTTATAAATTTAAAAATTATATTTTTATTTATTATTATTTTTTTTAATTTTAAAATTAATGTCAAGCCAAATTTCAAGCCCTGATATCACAACTCTCCCCCCTTTAAAAGAAATTTGGTCCCTCAAATTGTCTCTCTCTCACTCAATCAAACAGTTGAGGATACTGGGCTCTGAAGTCTAATTTTAGCTCACATGTAGCCTCTCTTTGTATGTTATTCTACCATAGGATCTTAACGAATGAGATTTTCTTATTGCGGAGTACTCTGCTCTTTTGGTCCATAATACCCACCGGTACCTCCTCATAGGACAAATCCTCCTAGTGTAAAAGGGACTTATAGGCCAAGATGTGAGAGGGGTTCAGGTT